TTCGTTTTCAGGGTCTTTTTAAATAAAACTGGCATTTGTTTGCATACTTTAACGCTATAAGAAATATTAAAACCTGAGCTGGATATTTTTTGGTCAGAAACCATAACATGATCATGTTAGGTAAATAAAGGAGTCTTGCTTTTCGGGTCTCAGGTCCTCGGGGGTCTTCGTTTTCGCTACAACCAGTTCAAAGCATACCTTTAAAATCCAATAGTTACTCAAGCTAACCCGCTAAAATTGGCCTGGAGTTTACGGTTGGGTTAGAAACAACAAAAATGTGTTGATGCGGTTTCCTTAAGTGGCTGTAACGTTATGATGTTTTATGGGTTGTCACGATTGACAGAGATTAACGAGGCCACAATTATGTTGTTAAAATGGACCAAACAGATTCGCTCGAAGCTAGAATTTGTTTTTCAGGTGAGATGTTATGTGGAACTGATGTGATGTTATCAACAAGAACATTTGAAAAAAAAAATCTGAGCCCAATGTACTCTTACAGTGCTTTTTTCTACCTATCAGAAATGAACTGCGTGAATGTGCTTATCGCGGACTATGTTTTCTACTGTCGTAACTTGTAAGCCATCGTATAGAATACCTTTCATTTAAAATGCAAGTTAAGAAAGTTTTTGTTAGGAAATATTATTAAAAATCCCATCACAAATGCAAACATTTGGGGGAAAGGTTAGAATACCTAATTAAATGCCTTGTTTTAAAAAATGCATTATCAATTATAAGACATGCTCATGGTACGAAAACATGGACATAAAAAAGGTTTTGAAGAAATTTTATGTCGAAGAGGCGACGCTACAGACCTTCGAACCCATTCAAATCTTTTGATTTTTGCTCAAACGTCCATTCACCAAATAAAATTTATAAACTTCTTTAAAAATGTTTTTCCTGAATGTCAATAGAAATCTTCTAGGAGAAAAGAAAGAAATTAACGTCATAATGAACGCTGACAAAATCACGCTTTTTATCAAAATCCTTATTTCTATTTGCATGCGGGAAGTATGGTCGCAATTCTCGATTCGACTGGAACATTTGTTTTCTCCAGACCTGGCGTTTGATCTCTCGTTAACTTAATATTGACTTCCGGCCGCAATATCAGGAGATCCGTGGACCCAACAGAGTGAGGTAGTTTTGAAAATATGGAATGCTGGAACACGGAACTGGAATCGGAATACTCGAAATACTCGGAATACCCGGAATTCCCGGAATGAACGAAAAATAATAAATTTTAAAAAAATTGATAAATAAATAAATAAATAGATAAGAATATTGATGATTAAAAATTAATGGTAAATTCACAACTTAATTAAGTGATTTAGTACGAAACTTTTCTCTGTTCCCCCCCCCCTCCCCACAAAGAAACACTTACCGGCACTGCTCATGGAGATGCATGTATTTAAATTATAAAAAAGTCTGCGTCAGGCCAGTAGCCCAGACAGCCTAAGCGACGAAATATTTGTACTCTCCCTTTCCCCTGGATGGGATGCTAGTCCTTGTTTGGAAGAATTCATGAATACAAGGTTTATATTAAAAGGTATATGTTCAAGGTATATATAATAAACGCGAAAAGGTGTTGAGTAACTGACGATCTCTCAATTTTAACTGTAGACGGCTGGTCTTAAAAGTAGCTGCTTTGATAGCTCCCAATGTGTGATTATTAACTATTTAAGGTAGAGTACTAATTTGTAATAGTTCTGAGCTTTTTACAATTGAACTATTAAACTAATTGGAAATGTTGCATTTGTTTAACCTTCTGCAATGGTTCCGGTTGGGAAAGCGTGGCAGCCTAATGATCATGGCGCCCTAGACATCTTACAGGTGTGTAAATGGATGGAGGCAAATTTAAAACGGGTAGTAACCATGTGATGGACTAGCATCCCATCCAGGGTGAAGGAAGAGTAGAAATATTTCGTCGCTTAGGCTGTATGGGCTACTGGCCTGACGCAGACTTTTTTAAAATTCTAATATGTGCATCTCCATGAACGGTGCCGGTAAGTGTTTTTTTTGGGATCTTTAGAGAAAAATTTCATATTAAATCATTTAACTAAGTTGTGAATTTACCATTAATTTTTAATCATCAATATTCTTATTTATTTTTATTAATTTACTTTTATTTTTTTATAATTTATTATTTTTCGGTCCTTCCGGGAATTCCGAGTATTCCGGTTCCGGTTCCGGTTCCGGTTCCGGTTCCAAATTCCAGCATTCTATATTTTCCAAACTACCCCAGAGTGAAACATGCCGAGCTTGTCACCTTTCTTCACTTTATCCCCTTCGTTAATTAACACGCATTCGTAACGATGGAATCGTCGTGTGGAAATTCTTGCCATCGCGGAACTCTCTGGTAAAGAATCATCTCATGATTTAAAACCATGGTGTTGTGACGCTTGCATTTGAAATCTTCGTCGAAGTTTTTCATTTCTTTCATTACATCCCGTCTATCCCCTTTCATTACTTTATTGGAGGTTAGGTACACATTCAGTGCTTTAGATAAAAGGCATCGAAAACCCAGCGAAGACTTAAGGTGGTGACTTGTTTGAACTACTAGTAGTTACCTATCCAGCACTTCAGCTGCACAACGACCCCTTGTAAGTACATGCACAGGCGGCCCAAGTTCTAGCTGTGAGATGATCATCTTGCGCGATGACAGTCACGGCGGAATTGTGAGAGTTTGTATGGGAATATTTACGACCGCTCTAGGGAATAAAAATATAAGCCAGATTCTCAATAAAAATACCTCGCCTTACTTCCACAGTGTATCCGGCTTGTTATTTGACCGCTTACTATGATGAAAAGAACCCATTTTAGCAAGTTGTCCTTTTCGAGGTTTCAACGTACATAAAGAAAAGGGATGTGTCGAAAACGAAGACCCAAAAACGAAGACCTAAGACCTAAGATCCACTGGTCTAAAACGAAGACCCCCTGGTCTAAAACGAAGACCCTGCGGTCTAAAACGAAGACATTGTGGTCTAAAACGAAGACCCCTGTAGTCTAAAACGAAGACCCTGTGGTCTAAAACGAAGACCCTGTGGTCTAAAACGAAGACCCGCTGATCTAAAACAAAGACCGTGTAGTCTAAAACTAAGACCCACTGGTCTAAAACGAAGACCCATTGTTCTTAAAACCTTTTTTTTTTCAAGGTAAGGCTATACACTAAGCTAAAGTGCTCTCATTTCTGTAGCGCATAAAAATGTTATCTGAGCGCGCGACCAGTGACAGATACGTTATCTCAGTCGGTACAACACATGTCAAATTGTGTAACGCAATTAAATTCTAAGAATATAGAAATATATATGTGCACGATCCTCGCAGTAAAGCACTATTTAAGCAATAGTGAGAATAAGACCTAAAAAAAAAAAAAATCCTGAGCAAGCCATCAAATTTTACAGGCCTGAATTTTTGCAGGTCTGATTCTCACTATTGCTCAAATAGTGCTTTACTGTGAGGATCGTGCACATATAGGTTTCATAATCGCAGTTCAGATATATGTCTTTCATATATTCGTTTGTTTAATATAGATATATACGTTTTAGTGACGATTTTGGTATATTTTGTCGTCACAAATATTCTATTTTTCAAATGCATATTGAGCAAATTACGATGAGGTGACTTCATTACTTTGCTGCACCGTATTTATCATAAAAAGGCGCAAAGGTCAACTGTGCGTGACTCGCTAATTTATTCACCACAGGCTACAAGGATGACCTCCCGCCACTCTAAAGCCATAAACACTAAGTTTCTGCAGTGCATGAATTAAAATGTCATCTGGCGCGCTTCATCTGAGCGCACACAACACGTGTCAATGTCCCCGGGGAAATTTGTAATTGATTATATATTAGTGTAAAAACGAACAACAGTTATAGAACTGTCGCGGCTTTGATATAGGTAAAAAATGTCATACACCAAACCTGAAAACTGGCGGGAGATAATATTATAATTTATTCCCCACAGGCTACAAGGATGATCTCCCGCCATAAATTAAAGGTTTTTAGAACAATGGGTCTTCGTTTTAGACCAATTGGTCTTCGTTTTAGACCACAGGGTCTTCGTTTTAGACCACAGGGTTTTCGTTTTAGAGTCGTCTCTTCCCTTTACCCCAAGGGGGGCGTGGGAGAGTGACCGTTACCGGACGACACTATAACGCTCGGAATTCAGACGTCTCTCTCCCGCGCCCCCCTTGGGGTAAAGGGAAGAAACGGCTGAAATTCAGACGACGTTTTAGACCACAGGGTCTTCGTTTTAGACTACAGTGTCTTCGTTTTAGACCACAGGGTCTTCGTTTTAGACCAGGGGGTCTTCGTTTTAGACCAGTGGGTCTTAGGTCTTAGGTCTTCGTTTTTGGGTCTTCGTTTTCGACACATCCTAAAGAAAAGCCCAAGGCTGAACACTCCATTTCCGAACGCCCAACCCGAGAAGCGAAAAATCCCAGCGCAAAATGACCGGGCGGCCATAAATCCAACGCAAAATACAAGAACATGCACTGTAGTTTCATTTCAATTCACTACAAGCTCAATCTTCCCCGTGCAACCGACGCTTAGCCTCATTTTGCTTCAAAAGTTTCCAGTTTAGAGGTTTCTAATAGCCCGCGTCCACATTTACATTGATTTTGGATAGGACTTAATCGAAAATCTTACCGTCTCAAAATATTTTGGATATGAACTTTAAATCCGGTCGACATTTATAATCCACGGACTACTGGAAGTACAGTGCTTAATTAGAATTATTAACAAAGAAATCATTGGAGAAATGAATTAGAATATTGAAGTGCAACAGTTGGCTATAAATAAATTTTCAAGAACTGCTTTATTCCCCATCTGATATGGTTCTATTCGTTTAAGACACCAAGGTCAAAGTTTGAATAGCTTTTCCGTTTGTCTCTGCATCACTGAAAAGGCTTCAGATGCGGTCCAAACTGACTGGCGATTTTGTTGCAAATAATAAACAAATAATCCACGAGTCGGTGGAAGCCAAGCAGAACGAGTACAGACATCACAATTAAAACCACTACTTTTATTTCCTCACGGCAAACAAGGTTTGATACAGTCGGTACTGAATCATATGGATACTGCGAGCCCTTGCACAAAGTCCCTGTTGATGTAAAACCCAGGAATTGAGTGGGGTCTCGACCTGATTCGTACTAGGATATATGTTATCAGTCATCTCAAACCACATTAAGTGAAATGTTTATCAAAATTTGACCGCTTCTATTTTCCTGGTGGAAGTATGGTCGCGATTTTTGATTTAACTGGAATATTTATTGCTTCCAGACCTGGCGTTTGACCTCTCGTATCGAATTCGATATTTACTCCTGGCCGGAATATCAGGAGATGCGTGGACCCACCATAGTGAAACATACCGAGCTGGTCACCTTTCTTTACCCTCTTCCTTTCTGTAACGGTGATTTCGTTGGAGGACACCTCTGACATACCGATCGATACAAAGCACATCAAGCCAATGGCGGGATTGTCAGATTGAATGTAGATAATACCTCTGGAAGCTACCTGGGCCAGGTATCCTTGTGACATGTTGGGTGATGCAGGGTCATCTCGGATGTTGTGGGTTGCAGAATAATAGGAACCATCCACGAGTTCTGTCTTGTAAATGATGCCCGACACAGGGCTGTGCCATCGGTGATAACTGGTGGCGCTTAGGAACGCTTGGTAGACGGTACCACCATAGAACTGCTTGGCAAGGTCACTCATGTTCAGGATGAAGTCTAAGGAGTATCGCTGGTGCTTTATCCAGAAGTAGTCCCTGTGTTGCACGGCTGTAGAGATCTGATATGGCGCCGACTCACAGGCATTCGCGACAATGGAATCGTCGTCTGGAGATTCTACTGGACGAATGCCATCGCGGAACTCTCTGGTAAAGAAATCATCCCATGATGTAAAACCATGGTGTTTTTTATTAGGCTTGCATTTGAATTCTTTGACGAAGTTTGGCATCGCTTCCATTGCGTCTTCACCAAACCAACCATGACGAGGATCATCAGTCAACACATAGCAGGAGTCGGAACTTGAAAGAAACTTTCCCCAGTAGTTTAAGATATTCTTGAACAACCTGTTGACTTTGTCGTTTAGGAAAGCAGCAAATCCAGCAGTCGTAGCCATCGGCCAGTTCAGGATTACGTTGATGGGAAAACCAACCAAACCAGTTTTGTTGTACTTTGGAGCTGTTGTCATGATGTAGTCGATTGAAAAAATCATCAGTTGCCAGCAAGGAATCTTTGTCCCTTCTGAAGTATCTGGGAGCTTGTACTGTTGCGAGAACATCTGATGGAAGAACATGTTGATCTCGGGGTCGGAGATAATAGCATCCAGCAAGTCTTTGACCGGTGGATGAAGACCGAGGTCTTCGTCTGTACCATTAGCAATTGCTGATAGACCTACTCCCTTGGCTGTCTCTTCATTTGTTGCAGCCCTTTTCGCAACTGCATGTTGAATTCCACTCACGACTGTATCTTCATCTTCGGCTGGTGGATAAAGAGTAATTAATAACTTTAACTTATCGCTGTATTTAGTTTTGACTTCTGTGGTCAAGTCGGCTAACCATTTGTCAATAACTTTCTGATCGGAAGGAATCCATTGACCAACACGATAAGGTTTGCTGTTAGTGATTGAGTTGGATGCAGTTCACTGCTCGGAAGGAATCTCTTGACTAGCTTGGGAAAGGTTGGAGCCCATGATTGTGTTTCCTGTAGTTTGCTGCTCGTTTTGTTTTGTTGGCAATATATATATTGCCATGACTGAAAATATGTAGAAAGGATAGAGCAGTGCCATTTGTGTAAAGTAACTAGGAAGCCTCGGCTTTAACTCAAAAGCAATTAGACTAATTATGATACATTGTAGTCACCATCTGTCTTCTCATTAGCTAAACGTCCACAGTTAATTCTGGGAAACAGCGCAACCTACAGATTATTCGCTAATTTGTACCTACAGGTTAGTGAATAATCTTTCGGTTGCGCGCGCAATGCATTCTTTCCGGTGGGGCAATGTCAAGTTCACGGACAGCGAAATAAGAATGGCTTCTAGATTCGCTTCATCGACCAAGCGAGAAATTGAGAAATTACTTGAAGATAAAGATTCGGAAAATACTAAAATATCGACAAAAGCGGCGAACGAATACCTTATAGATAAAAATATCGAGGAGCCACACGACAAAAAGGAATTAGCCCAAGTGAAAATTTATTTACCACACAGTTGCACATTTTTAAGTGTTCAAAAATAAGCTGTGTTCGCTGCGATAATGCGTTTGGCGTTATTTTCTTTAAAACAATGTAAAATAAAACAATTATTGGATGAGCAATCTTTTAATTATAGACTAGTGAGCAGTACTTCTGCGTCTATAATTTAAAAATTCCTTATCCAATAATTGTTTAATATCAGCTTTCATTCAAGCTAACCTTAAATATTCAGTTGCCTACTCAACCATAACACGGCATAAAAATTTTTTTATTTTGTTTGTGTTTGATCACCAGCCAAACAAAAATGTTTTCTTTAATTTGAGTTTTCCAGTTAATTAAAAAATTTCCAGACAAAGTAAGCCACCTCTGAAGGTTTTTGTCAATACAATACAATAGACTTCATTTCAAGAGGGTAGCACGTGACAGTAGTTAAACTGATGATCCTGTGGCCCTCTACCTTTGTACCTATATATACAATACTATTAAGTGCTATTCTATTATTCATTATAATTAACAGAAAATCACTTTAATTAACAAAGAATCTAAAATGGCGCACTGAAATTGTTAGTTTCTCTCTGGCTTTTTAAAAAAGTGTTTATTAATAAAGGCTCTTTTTGATACTTTTAGTATCCTTAGAGTTTCTGAGCGTTTTCTCTAAATTATTGCAGTCTTTGATGGATCTAACTGTGAACGTTCGTTCCCCTTCGGCAGAGTTGTTATATTTGGGGCAGCGTAGGTTTAGCTTGCTGTAACGGGTATTTCTGGAGTGAAACTCAGAATTCAGTTGAAGCAGAGATTTCAGGTATTCTGGTAATTTATCGAGTGTTCTCTTGAGAATTAATGTGCATCTGTTTACGTACGCCTCTGGATTGAAGGGAAGCCAATTTAACGTACGCGTGTTGAACAAAGGCAATGTGCGTGAGCGTGGTTCTGCGTCTAAGATGATCCTTGCAGCTCCCTTTTGTAGTCTAAGAATGTTGTTCAGGTTTTCTTTAGATGTTGATGTCCAGATGTTAGCGCCAGATAAGAGAGTCGGTTTGATGATAGCATTGTAATATATTTTCTTATGGTCACTCATTAGATATGGACTGATATATTTCAGGAGACGAATTCTTTTTGATACCTTTTGAACGAGAGCAGTACAGTGGTTTTCGAAAGTGAAGTCATCATCAATCACTACCCCGAGAAACCTGTGTGATCTTACTCTTTCAATTTGTGAATCATTCAAGGTACAGCATGGGTCACACTTGGCAAAGTTTGGTGTGAATGTGGTCACTTTGGTGTAAAAATCTGTCATCGGGGCACATTGCCTAATGCGACCCTAACTTTTCCAGTTCGCAAAAGCTTTGAAAACCGACCAAAACATCAAAGACGCCGTAGTGCTTGGGTGGAGCAGGTAGATTTTGGAAAACTCGGGCTAAACAATAGCTATCACAGCGGTAACTGTCATCGCTTGTCAGTAAACAGCAAACGACTCGACTGGTCGCGGAACTGACCAGGCATATGGCGCTCGAAGTAATCTTCGCTGACGTCGATTTCTCGCTCTTATCATAGCGGCAGTCAAAACAGTTAAACAGGCGTTAACCCATCTTTTATAGATCATACGAAAGACAAAAAAGTGCTCATGATTTAACTGAATAAGAAGATTAAGCATCACCGTGATCGTTATTAACAATGCTTCAACGGGACGCATTTTTTGAACGTTTGTTTTCCTTTTTCAGCTCACTGCTCTCTCTCCATAGCACGTCGATGAACGTGTGTCTGGTTGATCAAAGTGTCATCACTGACATTTTTTTTCACCTAGTGCGATCCTGATAGTTCAAGTGAAACCAAAAGTTTTCTTTCCGGTTGCGGTTTCAAATTTTCTGTGGTTTTTTTTCCGGCAAAGTTGAAAACTTTCCCTAAGTGCGACCCCAGACAAATTGCTATCTAGATGTTGATCTTGATTCAAAGGATTTCTCAATCGCTTCCCGAGGACAAGCATAGATTTGGTTTTCTTTTCATTAATTAGAAAATTAAACGAGGCTTACCTGTAAGTTGAAGTTTGATTGAGATTCTACCGTGGCATTTTCAGTAATGAGGAGGTCACGTGAGATAGCAAGTATGTGCTACCCCGAGCTCAGTCTTGAAAGCAGTTTGGTGTGGCTTCGATGGTACGGTAAAGGAGGTCACTATGAAGGACGTGAGGACCCAGGGATGGGTGGGATGTGACCTCCTCATTTCTGCAAATGCCACGGTAGAATCTCAATCAAACTTCAACTTACAGGTAAGCCTCGTTTAATTTTCTAATTAATGAAAAGAAAACCAAATCTATGCTTGTCCTCGGGAAGCGATTGAGAAATCCTTTGAATCAAGATCAACATCTAGATAGCAATTTGTCTGGGGTCGCACTTAGGGAAAGTTTTCAACTTTGCCGGAAAAAAAACCACAGAAAATTTGAAACCGCAACCGGAAAGAAAACTTTTGGTTTCACTTGAACTATCAGGATCGCACTAGGTGAAAAAAAATGTCAGTGATGACACTTTGATCAACCAGACACACGTTCATCGACGTGCTATGGAGAGAGAGCAGTGAGCTGAAAAAGGAAAACAAACGTTCAAAAAATGCGTCCCGTTGAAGCATTGTTAATAACGATCACGGTGATGCTTAATCTTCTTATTCAGTTAAATCATGAGCACTTTTTTGTCTTTCGTATGATCTATAAAAGATGGGTTAACGCCTGTTTAACTGTTTTGACTGCCGCTATGATAAGAGCGAGAAATCGAC